GATGGACACTGTTTTTACAGGTACTTGCCAAGTGACTTGACAAAAGATGATTTAGTTCAACGTAAGCCATTTATTCTAAGAAATGAACAAAATGGTGCAATGCCCCATTAAATAAACAAATACTTGTGCTATAGAGACATTGTCTTTAAGCTTTTCTTTCTAAGTTACCTTCACTGACATACAGACACACACACACACACACTTTTCAAAAGTTTTCAGGCAGATTATTTTGTTTTTATGTTTTTCATCTTTAGCAATTAACTCTTCTCCCTTATGCTTACAATGAGAGAAAAATATAAACGTCCATATAGGGAATTTGTTAGAATAGATAACCTTCTCACAGAAGATTAGACAGAAAAAGTATAGAGTTTCAAAACTGCTCTGAAGTGTAACAAAATTATCAAACCAAAAGAGGACACTGACTAAGAGTGTATATTTTCAGCAAAAAGGCAAAACACTGATGTCTAACCAAATAATTATGTTAACCAATTTGCTTTTGGCTGTGGTGTCTAGACCTGGAGAACCATAATTTCACCGTAAGGGAAACAGCCAGAAATGTGGTTAGAAGTTTAAAATAACGTTCATCATAATTTATGTAATGGCATGTGTGCACATGTGCATACACACATACACACACAAATACACACATACCCATAAAACACAATGGGCAACACTAGGAGGGTGGCCCAATAGGATAATGAGAGGCTAGAACAGTAACAACTCTGCTTGCTTCTCTTACAAAGTACTGGGGAATGCTATACCCTCATGTAGCTACTTAGAATAATTCACTGTCTTGAGTTATTATACTCAGATTGGTAAGTTTGATGCTATTTAAAAAAAAAAAAACTCAAAAATAGCTCCCTGAAAGAAATGCGAGCACATTTTTATAGCTTTCTCCGGTGACACTAGGTCTCTGACACTTGTTTTCAGTGATGCACAGCATAGTGGGAGAAGGAGCAACACTCAGGAATAAGCAGACAGCCATCATCTTTAGAAGGAATGCTGGTAAAATGGAATTAACGTATGCTACCACACTCACAGAGAGAAATGTAGTGCTCTCCCTGTCTTGGGAAAAAGCTTTTAAGCACATGGCTTCCATATGGGAGTAATTTCCATCTCCTAATTAAAATCAGATTTATAAATAAAAGTAGAGGAAGGAAGCCAGACTGACAAGGGTATGATACCAAAAGGCAGAGTAAGTGGGAAGTCTTTGAAGGATGGAAAACGAAGGTAGTTGGGTTTTGAAAGGAAGTGGTTTAATAGGCTTTGTTTTGTCTTGTTTGTTTAGGGATCATTCTAGGAGCATTGCCTGAGACTCATTAGGGCTTTAGTTCTCACATGTTTACAGAAAAAGAGAAACAGCTCCACCCCCCTCACACACAAACACACATGCTGAACTGACAGTACCCCTGTTGTAGGTTAGGAAATTTTACCCTTAACTTATGATATATTACTTATGTTCTAGAAGCTTCTTTGTATGACTCTTGAAAACAATAAAAATTTAAGTGATACAAGGCTAAACACTTAAAAGCATTTTGCAAACATTTTCAACCAACATTATGACATGGAAAGAAAGGAGGAGGAAGGAAAATAACTTTGGATTTCTGTACCTTAGTGGGCACTGACAATTGAAAGCAAAGCAAACCAAAACAAACAAAAAATGAAGTGAGAGAAGACAATTTCATTGCTGGAATCCATTCACTGTATCCATGCTGAAGTTTGTTGAGGAATTTTTAAATTTCAGTTTATCACTGACTAGTTTATCTTAATTCTGCTAAAGACACACAGCAAATTAATTGTTTAGGTTTAATTAAAGAGGAGAGAAAGAAAGAATGAAAGTCCCAATTTTCTCAAAGTACATTTGAGATTGGCATTATTGTGTTAGAGTTGAATAAACACAACTTACGTCTGATATTTCAATTGAGTTCCTAGAGAGATGAGATGGTGTAAAACAACAACAACTTGCTTTCCAAAAACAAAAACAATAAGAAAGCCCAAGAAACAACAACAAAATAATAAAACCTATGTTATGGATACATATGTGCACTTACATACATTTATGGAATCAAGAATTAAAGTAGACATTTAGGGTTGGGTGAGTGAGTGATTGATTGTTAGCAATGTGGTATATTGATACCATTGGTACAATTTTCAATACCAAAGGATTTTAGAATGGAAAATATATTTTAGACTTGCCAAAAGCACCTTTAAACTGAATAAGAAATTTTTACTTAGTCCTTTTCTCACTGCGGTAGGGTGGCTTTGTAAACTTCTCCTTGGCTCCTATTCAAATTTTCCAAATGACTCCATATAATGAGCACAAAATGTGTGTGTATATATACATATTTGCAAGTGTCTGTGTAGTTGCATCTTAGAGAGGTAAATTAATGGCATTTTTTTATACAATGAATTATGTTGCAGTGCTAGAGGCAGGAAGAAAGAAAGAAAATGAGACAGCCAAGAGGGCAAAGTTAAAGAATAAACTTGAGGGTGAGGATAAAGCAAGTTAGCTGATGGCTCTCCACTAACTGCCCACACCTCTAGTTGCCGTTCCTCATCCAGGCCACATTCTCTCTTTTCTCCCGCCCTCGTTTCAGAAATCAAAAGGGAAATTTAAAAGTTACAGTATGGAGAACTTCAAGCCCCAAGTAGACATAAGCTCCAGTCAAGCCTCCCCACAACATCCTTTGATAAGAAGATGAGTGTTTTGCTAATGATCAGGAAAGACAAAGCGACACTAAACAAAACTCCTGCTTTGCAACTCAAGATGTCCACATTCTGGCAGGATGCTAGTGAAAAGTAAGCCAAGCATCTCTTTGTGGTTAAATCTCTTTGCTGTATGTTGTGTATGTTCTGTTCTTGCAACAGAAGTTGGGAAAGATACACTTAAGCCAAAGCCAAACTAGGAGTTTTTGAAAGAGGTAGGTAACCGCCTGAGCAGAGGGGTCATCTGATATTATGTGAAGTTCACCCTTGATCTTTTAAGAGGAAAGTTTAGAGTCTTCTTTGGCTGAAAAGTCTCTTTCCAGATGGTGCTTTAAACACCTAATGATCCTAGACAACCGGATCTCATGTCCTTCATGTGCTGCACTTGTTTTATGTATACTTCAAACTGTTCAGATTGGTTGTAAATCTTTAGCTTCAAGTTGCTCCTGATGTCACGGGGCTTTCTGGTTTCATTTAGGTATGTATGGGGGGGGGGATTCCAGTCTTTAATGCTGAATGACTGCAGCTTAGCTTTCCACACCATGTAAAACCAGAGCATCCAAAATCCTAAGACTCCTATAGGAGACATTCATAGGAGAGAAAAAAAAAATCTTTTGTTTGTCTTCATGATTCGTAATTCTAATTTAATGCAATGACATATTCTTTGACCATACTAAATTCACTTGTCATGAAGACAGGAAGGTGGCTACATATTAATAAATATCTTACGTGTAGTGTCAATGAATGTGTGATTACACTTGGGATTTTCTATTGTGAAACATTTTTCAATGTCTATTTAACACCTGCTATATGAGACACACTGTGGATTGGTCCTGGATATTCAGTGTTGAAAAAAGAAAAAATGTCCACATTCAGTTTCCATTACTATCTCTCCAAAATCATGTCCTTGTGAAAAGTAATAATAATTCTGGACTCCAGATTCTTCCTTTATGCTATTTACAAAGGCATGTTTTTATGAACATGCAATTTATATAGAGGAAAGTACATAAGCCAAGAATACAGCTTGGAGAATTTTCACCAAGTAAACATATCCTGAAGTAAGTGGGCAGACCAAACAGCAGAACATTACAATTCTCCTGGGATCTTCTTGCTGTTTTTTCTTCTTTTTTGGAGCTCCTTCTTTATAGGTTTCCAGTTAACCTTCTCAACTACTTTTTCTAACATCTGACATCCTATGCTAATTTTACCTTACTCTGGACTTTGTAGTTATGGACTCTGCCTTCATTTGCTTAATTTTATGTTTCCACCATGCCTCTGAGTTGTTGTATAGTTGGGTTTATTTTTTATCCTTACTAGTCCACTGTTAAATTGTGTTAGAATCCATTTATCTATTCTATTGTTACATGTTTGTGGGAAATAGTCCTGATGTTGCTATTTCCAGGTTAGGGCTGTTAAGATTCCCCTACATGTCTTCTGGTGAACAATGCTCCTTGGAATACTCTCACAAGTCAGATTGTTAGGTCAAAAGTTACTTATGTATTCATACAGATTACATGTCAACAACATTTATTCTAAGTGTTTGCACTCAATTGCAGTTCCAGCAGCAGTGCATGAACCCTACCAGTCACTCCACATTTTTGCCAAGCTCGACATTATATGTTCTTTCTTTCATTTTCATGTGCATTTTAAAGTAAAAAAAAAAAAAATTGAATAGTCAAAGGAACTTTGTGCAAGCAATGAAACATCTTAAAGTTTATATCAAATGTTAATCCCTTAGATTTTCATCTGTGCATACAATTCAGAATGATATCATGTGGAATTACCACATGAAATCAAAACCACTGTTTATGCTGGAAAACCTGGAGAAGATTGTCATATTTCGGGGTTGAGCATTTATTTATAAAAGCAGCAGTGGCCGACCAGCACCCCCCCCCACACACACACACAAATCTCCCACAAAAGGAGCAAATGAGGAAAAATAATATGCAAGTCCCTTCCTTGAACTTCAAAGTAGAAATGGCTTTATCAAGCCCTGTGGAATAAACATGCAATTGGGTAGTAGATGCCCTTCCATATCAACTGTAAGGCTAAAAGTGGCAAAAAAAAAAAAAAAGTTTGAGCAGTTATGGGTCAATAAAAATCCTAATGTCAGGCCCTTGAAACTATAGGGAGATAAATACCATAATAAAATTAACTTGCTGATCATACTGTAAATGTAGGAGGAAGTGTAAATAAGTACATTTGGTCCAGATCCCACAGGCCTAGTCAGCTAAATATTTTGTAAAAGACACTAATTCTTAGAATACTGTTGATGGTTTCCTTTTTCTTTTCAGACTAAGGTTTATACTCACACTCCAACTTTATATGTGGACTTCAGGTTGAACCAAGGAGCAAAGCATTCCCAGCTTATTCCTAAGGGTATGACGGGTTCTGGAATGTGGTAGCCATGTGAGGAAAAACAATGAAATCAAAGCCCAAGCAGCTTCAGAATGCAAATTCTCAATATCTGCATTATATTCTAGGAACTTTTATTATGTTTATATTAGCAAAGGCTGTCTGGGCATGCTTCCATAGAATAGGTGGCAAATCCAAAAGTTTGACAAGTTTCCAGTCTGCTGATTAATCAGATATTTAAAAGTACTTATTTGTTTGCAGTTTCAATGATACTAGCTGTCTATATTCACGTTTATATGCATATATGTCTATATGCACGTTTCCGTTTGGTTGTGCTAATCTTGCAGAAAGCAGATATTTCATGCAGTGGTGATTTGGAAGACAGTTGATATCAGGAATTGAGCCTTGATGATGCATCATTTACAAAGAATCCAATTTGTCCAATTTCTGACAGTACCAGATTTCTTTTGCATGGGCCACACATTTTTCCCATTAGCTCTTGGCTAAAATAAGAATAAGTAGGGTCCCTTTTTTGCATGGTGATTTTCAGCACCTCTTGCAAAGTAATCTCTTATTTCTTGCCGACAATATTGCTATCATTCATCATAAAGGACATAAATTTGCATTTCTAGGAAAGTATACATTTTTTTTGAGAAATGTATACTTTCTGATCTTCAGGGCCTCTTTGTTAACTGACGGATAGTATCAACATTTTGCTCTCCATAACCCCTCTGTTTATTTTCTGTCTTTCTACACAGCACCTCAGCTTCTGAGTACTTTAAAACATAGATTGGAGTGTTAATAAAGAAAACTGTTATGGTGTGTGGAATTTTCCACAGTGAAATTTTTTTTCTAACTTTTCTGTATCGTGTAGATAACTCAATAACAAACTATATTCAGATAACCTATAGTATACTACTCTAGTAGGTAGAACAATGTCCTTCCTCCTTCAGGATGTCCATGTACTGATTCACAGGACATGAAACTATGTTACATAGAAAAGGGGACTTTGCTTTGAAACACTGCTAGTAGAGTCTTTCAGATGCCTTTTGCGGTAGACTCCTGTCATACATTCAATGCACATCCCATTTGTCTTTCTAAATGAGGATTGATCATCTTCACCCATGTCCACTTACTTGATTATCTTCTTTAGGTGTGTGGATTTCATTATGTTTATCATATCTTGGAGGTCTATATAAGCGAGTATATACCAAGTTTGTCTTTCTCCTTCTGGGATACTTCACTCAGAATGATCTTTTCTAGATCCCACCATTTGCCATCAAATTTCATGATTTCCTCCCTTTTGATTGCTGAGTAGTATTCCATTGTGTAAAAATACCACAATTTCTGAATCCATTCCTCTGTTGATGGACATCTGGGTTGTTTCCAAGTTCTGGCTATTACAAATAAAGCTGCTACAAACATGGTTGAACAAATGTCCTTGTTGTGTACTTGAGCAAATTTTGGGTATATACCTAGGAGTGGTATAGCTGGGTCTTGAGGTAGCACTACTCCTAATTGTCTGAGAAAGCGCCAGATTGACTTCCAAAGTGGTTGTACCAGTTTACATTCCCACCAGCAATGGAGGAGGGTTCCTTTTTCTCCACAACCTCTCCAGCATGTGTTGTCACTTGAGTTTTTCATCTTGGCCATTCTGATGGGTGTAAGGTGAAATATCAGGGTTGTTTTGATTTGCATTTCCCTAATGACTAATGAGGTTGAGCATTTCTTTAAGTGTTTCTCTGCCATTTGATGTTCCTCTTTCGAGAATTCTCTGTTTAGCTCTGTTCCCCATTTTTTAAGTGGATTACTTGGTTTGTTGCTTTTCTGCTTCTTTAGTTCTTTATATATACTGGATATTAGCCCTCTGTCAGATAAAGGGTTGGTGAAGATTCTTTCCCAATCTGTAGGCAGTCGTTTTGTTTTGATGACTGTGTCTTTTGCTTTACAGAAGCTTTTCAGTTTCATGAGGTCCCATTTATTGATTGTTGCTCTTAGAGCTTGTGCTCTTGGTGTTCTGTTCAGGAAGTTGTCTCCTGTGCCAATGAGTTCTAGGCTGTTCCCCTCATAACCAAACCATGGCAGAGTGCAGGGAATCATATGAAAGAAGGGGAGTTAGTATGATATGGAAAGGATAGGAGCTCTACAAGTACCAAATATATCCGGGCACAGGGTCTTTTCTGAGACTGACACTCAAACAAGGACCATCTATGGATATAACATAGAACTTCTGCTTGGATGTGGACCGTGGTAGCTCAGTAACCAAGTAGTTTTCCAAAGTAAGGGGAACACGGACTTTTCTAACAGGATCTCAAGGGCAGGCTCTTTGACCTCCCCCCCCAGGGGAGGAGCAGTCCTGTTAGGCCACAGAGGAGGACTTTGCAGCCAGCCTTGAAGATACCTGATAAAACAGGGTCAAATGAAAGGGGAGGAGGTCCTCCCCTATCAGTGGATTTGGAAAGGGGCAGGGAGGAGACCAGGGAGGGAGTTGGGGAGGGGGAGGGAATGAGGGAGCGGGATACAGCTGGGACACAGAGTTAACAAATTGTAACTAAAAAGAAAAATAAGGGGGTGGGGCAAGATGGCGGTGCTGGGAGAACTCTCATTCTGAGGAGCAGCACAGCAGGATTGGCACAGTGACCAGCAATCAGAACTCACGGCCATAAAACACAAGTGATTGTGTTTCACAGGTGAGAGGATACCCCACGGTGAGGGATTCAATCAGCTTTAACTCACCCAGCTAAACCGCGGAAGAGATCCCGATTCCGCCAGGCGCTTGGTCACCAGCCCAGAGCTACACCCCAGCATGATCTGGTCACTGTCCCAGACTGAACTGTGGGCCCACAACACCATAGCCTGGATTTCCCAGTCGAGAGATAACCCCACGGAGCAGGAAACGATAGGGACGGACCTCAGGTTACCCAGACATCCCCTGGAAAAGACTCGGGTTCCGCGGGTGCCCCAAGAGCCAGCCCGGACCCAGAACCAGGACACAGGTGCCTGCACGGAGCCCTGCCTGCGCGCCTGATTCACCGCCTCAGATAGAACTGTGGGCACCAGGGCACCAGGGCACCAGACTGCGTGTCTCTGGCAGGAGGAAACCCCCAGCGGAGGGGGTCAGCAGCTCTAACGCTTGGGACACCCAGCACCAGAACACTTCCTGGACTCACGCAGACTCTAGTACAGGCAGGAGCGCTGTGCTCTGCCGCCATTATTGAGTTCCCCTAGGGCACTGGGACACACAGCTGCATCCTCGGACCTACAAAAGCCAGAGAGCCATAACAGCAGCCCTCAGATACTATGCCAAGGATCAACCAGTTAACCCTAACTAGACTGTCAAAACTGCGGGAATCCCTGGTCCTTCAGGAGGGCTGCACCCACAGTGTCTGGACCAGAGGAGTGCCTGCAGCCGCCATTCCAGACAGAGACACACAGCTTCTGGTCCAGAGTGAGGCACCCAGCCTCCAGACCAGAGCAGTGCCCCCAGGCGCCAACTCAACCTAGGTGCACATTCTCCAGGTCCAGAGCGGAGCAATCAGCCTCTGGCACAGAGACTTGCTGAGTGCACCTCCCACTTTCCTGGACAGAACTGTGCGCCCCAGGATAACAGACTGAGTTTCCCTGTTGGGAGAAAACCCCACAGCTAGGGAATCAGCAGTTTCTTCAAGAGGACTGTACATGGAAATTTAGTGAGCAGCAGCACACTAAATTTATAACAAGAAACCCAGCAGTGGGGCAGCTGTCTTGAGAAATTCTATGGGTAAGAGGAGATCCCCCCCTGCCTAACATAGACCACAGCTACTACTCAGAGCTATAAACCTGAGGTGAGCAGTGGCAACTCCTGAGAAACACTGGCCATACAGTGACCATAACCAAAAAGCAGAGAAGGACTCCTTCAGGAAAAATCATCTTCCTGCCAAGGGGATACTCCCTACCTCAGGACTCCAGGAAGCACAGAAACTAACAGCCAATACCTAAATCAGCCCAATGGGTAGAGGTCAGTGTAAAGGCTCAACCAACAAAAGAGAGCAATACGGCATCTCCAGAACCCAGCCATCCAGGGGCGAACAGCCCTGAACAATGCAGCATAATAGAAAATCAAGAAGATGACCTTACAACTATGGTGATGAAGAGGATAATAGAGGAAACAGATAAAATACGTAAAGAATTAGAGGAGGATAAAACCAAACAGATCATGGCTATCCGTAAAGAAATGGAGGAAGATAAAGACAAGCAGATTAGGGCCATCGTGAAGAAATATGGGAAGATGCAGCCAAACAGCTTGTGGCCTTCAGAGAAGAAATAATTAAATCACTGAAAGAAATAAAAGAGACAGAGATGAAGGAACTAAAAGAAAAAGAGGAAAATACAAGCAGACAGGTGAAGGAAGTAAACAAAACAACTCAAGACCTGAAGATAGAACTAGAAAAATTAAAGAAAACACAAATGGAGGAAATAATGGAGAGGAAGAATTTAGGGAAGAAAACAGGAACTACAGAAGTAAGCATAACCAACAGAATACAAGAAATGAAAGAAAGAATCTCAGGTGTAGAAGATACAATGGAAGAAATCGATGTATCTGTCAAAGAAAATGTTAAATCCAAAAAATTCCTGACATAAACCGTCCAAGAAATCCAAGACAATATGAAAAGACAAAATCTAAGAATAATAGGAATAGAGGAAAAAGAAGACTCCCTTCTCCAAGGCCCAGAAAATATTTTCAACAAAATCATCGAAGAAAATTTCCCCAAGTTAAAGGAGAAGCCAGTAAGGATACATGAGGCCTACAGAACACCCAACAAATTTGACCAGAAAAGAAAATCCTCCCGCCACATAATAATCAAAACAGTAAGTATACAGAACAAAGAAAAAATACTAAAAGCTGCAAGGGAAAAAGGCCAAGTAACATATAACGGCAAACCCATTAGAATCACACCTGACTTTTCAACAGAAACTATGAAAGCCAGAAGGGCCTGGACAGATATCATGCAGACCCTAAGAGAACACAGATGTCAACCCAGGCT